GAATCCTGTAGGTATTAAGTATAATAATAATATTTATATAAGATAGTTATACATTTACATAACATTTAATTTTATATTATTATTAGAAATTACCATCAGTTAAGAAAAATGCTGAACAGCCATTGTTTGAACAAGAACAAGTGAAAAATGCAAAGCAAATCATGAGACCATTTGTGCTTCGCCGTTTGAAAGCTGAAGTTCTTAGAGATTTACCAGAAAAAAAAGAACGAATGATTAAATGTCCAATGATAGAGAAACAACAAAAAATGTATACTAATTTAATTGCCGAATTTTCGGCCGAAGCTGATCAAAGCACGGAGGTTAACGGTATTGGAATGATGATGCAGTTAAGAAAATTGGCTAATCATCCGCTTTTAGTGCGAGATTATTACAACAAATCCAAGTTAAAAGTATATTTATAGTTTAAAAATAATAAAAATATATTTATCACTTTAATACGAATGAATTTATAATATGAAATTAAATTTTTTACAATTTTATATTAGGTAATATCGAGTAGATTAGCAAAAGAACATTCATATAAGCAGAAAAATGCAGATTTTATATTTGAGGATTTACAGTGGATGTCAGATTATCAAATAAATCAATTAACAAGAACATATAAGAGCATAGCTGGATTAGGTTTACCTCAAGAACTTATTCCTGAAGCTGGAAAATTAAAGATTTTGGACGAATTGTTACCGAAGTTAAAAGAAGAAGGACATCGAGTGTTAATTTTCAGTCAATTTACAATGATATTAGATATTTTAGAAGAATATTTAACAATTAGAGGACAAACGTATTTAAGGTCTGTTTTAAAGTTTTTATTGTTTATATTTTTTATTATTTTTAATCCTTTATGAAAATAGATTAGATGGAAGTACACCAGTAACTGATAGACAGTGTCTGATAAATCAATATATGGAAGACGAAAATATATTCATATTTTTACTATCTACAAAAGCTGGAGGCTTGGGGATCAATTTAACAGCTGCCGATACTGTTATAATACATGATATTGATTTTAATCCGTATAATGATAAGCAAGCGGAAGATCGCTGTCATAGAGTAGGTCAAAAAAGGTATTTTAATTACTGAATAATATTAAAAAAGATAATAGTTATAAACTATAAAAATATGTTATAAACTATTCAAATTTATTTTCAGACCAGTTAGCATAATTAGATTATTAAGTGAAGATACTATAGAAGAAGGCATGTATGAAATAGCTCAAGATAAATTACATCTTGAACAACAGATTACTGGTGATGAAGGTAAGTGTTAATTTTCCATTTTAATGTAATATATATAATATATATATTACAGTATAACATATTATAATGTAATGTATGTATATAATGTATATTATTATTTGTAGAAAATGAAAGTACAGATAAGAAGAGTGTGTTAAAATTACTTAAGATGACATTAGGATTGGATCATAATAGATCGTTATCACTATCTCCCGTGAAAAATGCAAGAACGAGTAATGGATTATTAAACAGTGAAGAAAATTGTAATATAGAATTTTGAAAGTGATAATTTATCTAAACATATTTTTTGCTAGCATTTTTATATGCATCCTTAATCTTTGTGATAAAGTTTAGTATCGCAATTGCACTTTAAAGAATTAAAAAAAAAGGAACGAAAAAAGAAAAGAAGAAAATAAAAAAAAGTAATATAAAAATTGTCTTAAGATTAAATTTTATATTTGATTATTAATTATCATATACGTGAAACTTTCTTGCTTTTTTTTATTTAATCATTGCATATGTGAAATTTAAAAATGTGTGCACAATTTAAATTATTTGTGAATTGTGGAACTTAATTAATTTTGACATTTTGTACATCACTTATATATTTCATCATTTTTTAATTTATAGTTTAGATTTATTCATATATTTTGTGTCCGATATCTACATTGTAATATTTAATGATATATTTTTAGAAAATTTAAAACAATGATTAAGACTGCACAATATTTAATACTTACACAAAAATAATACAGAATGCCGGAAGAAAATGAACAAAAAGAAGAAATTCATAAAAAATGTCAAACTATTTGATATTACTATATACACATTCCTAAACAAATAACTTGATCTTTGTACAAAACCATTAAAGATATTATACATCTTTTATCAGAATTAATTTATTATCTTATAAAATATACGGTTGTATTTGATTGAATATTACGAAAAATTTAATAAATTTAAAAGATTAAATAAATTAAGAATTTATAATCAAATAATAAAAATAATAAAAGCACCTATTTTAGAAATTATGAATTTTTAAAGTATTTAGTAATTATATTTACTATTTAAATTATGGGAATAATATTATGTAATTATTTGAAATTTAAATTGATATGATTTTGATTTGTTTTCTCCATTATTTTCTATTTATATTTGTAAAAATTATCCAATTTAATTTATTTTAATATAATTTTTAAAAAATAATAAGTTATGTAAATATTCTAATTTTTTTTTTAAATTCATCATTATTTTTATTTTTTCTATTACAGAAATGAATTTGAATTATTTATCTACTTTTATGTTTATTTATATAAAAATTATAAACTTTTCAATTCTTTTTATCGAAAGATTGTTCATTATATGTTAAATGAACGAAAGAGAAATGATTAAACTATATATAAATGATTAAATTATTTAGCATTATTATTAGCATTCCTGAACAAATAACTTCATTTTTGTATAAATTATATAATTAATTTTATATTTTATTATTATATTCTATTAAATACACGAAAATTCAAATTTATAAATATATTTTAACAATTTTAAAACATACTTTTTTAATAAATAGATTTTCTTAATAATCTATCTAAAATTGAGATCTCAATATACTATTAAAATTGCATAACAATAAAAAAAAAATTCTTGAAATATTTTCCAAATTTAAAAATATCATTATTTATAATATAATAATTAAATTTAATGTTTTAAATATTATTTTTCATTAGAAATAACGATTTGTTGCACAAACTATATACGATAATTCTATATTTATCTGACACTTTTTAGTGTCAATAATCTATGACGTAAATTAAAAGCCGCAAGTTTCCCCGATCAGAATCTAAAGTGATAGAATTTGATAGAACTATTATCAAAAAATTTAAGAGAGTAGGAACTTTCCTATAATATTACTTCGATAATATTTTATAATTGTTTGTAGTTATAACTCTAATTATCAAATGAAAATCTTTAGTGAAATCTATAGTCAAATAGAAAACATATATAAAATATGTAATTTTATTTGCAAATAATTATTTCGATTCATAAATTTATAACATTATTTATTTATTGAAATAATTTTAATATTTTATCACAATGTATTGTTTTCCTTGGTCAAAAAGATTCATTATTATCAAAATACAAAATTAAAAAAAGAGTACGAAGAAAAGTAAAAAATTAAATCTGAAAGACAAAAATAGAAGGATAAATGAAGAATAGAAAAAAAAAAAAATGAAAAACGAAATATACAAAGTATAACAGGAAAGCAGTAGTAAAGGGGATCCCACGAGTTTCTAGTATTTTGAAATAGTTAAAAATAAAACATGCATCAAATTTGCAACAGATTATTAATAAATTAATATTTGCCTTTTTTCATATCTCTAAATTATTACATATAATGATATATTAAAAGATAAATAGCATGACAAAAATTAATATTTTGTAGAATGAATTTTTAAAATTTTTTTAGAAAATTATTATTGATCAAATTAATGAATAATTTTTTATGTATTTATTATTACATTAAATTATTATATAAAAATATTATCATTATATTTATTTTTAAAACAATGATATAACAATGTTAATAAATATTTAATTTGTTAAAAAAACTTTAATAAAAATTAGAAAAAAAAAATATATTATAAATATTTTCTATAGAAATATTTAAATAGACGATAAAATTAAAAAAAATGATAATCAGGATTTGGCAATCTTTCTATTTTCTTCTTTATTATTATTATTTGTTATATTTATTTGGTTAACGAATATAAAATATCATTTTATTCATATAGAAAATATAAATAAAAATAGCAATTAATATGACAATTTATTATTTTTTAATTATTGAAAATTGCTAATCAAATAGAATAATTAAAAAAATGCTTTAAGATTTTTAAAATTCAGTTCAGAACAAATAATAATTTCGATAACTATTTCATCTCATGATAATGTTATTTTTGTCTCAGATGATCTATGAGTAAATAAATTTTAGTTTTTTATTTACAAATTATTATGATAAATTATAATATGATAATATTTTTACATATGAATATATATTTGAATTATAATTGTTATTATTTATCAATTCTAAATGAATTCTATTTTAATTAACTTATTATTAAATGAAAGTTATCGCTAATTTCCGATTCAGTTAATATCAATGATTATAAGCAGATATTTATTCATTACGCGCTGTATAATTTTCATTATCAAGACAAATATCGAGTTCTCTATTAATCTTCCTATATCGAATTACATATTAATTTTTAATGCTATCAACGTTTACAGTAATAAAATTGATTGCGTTGTAATTGAGTACGATGTCGCATCACATTATATAGTCTTATCAATAATGTGATGCGACTAGAATAAGAATCAAAGGCAAATGATTAATGAGAAAGAAGCAAGAAAATTATAACATCATGTTTAAATGCTTTTCAAAGGAATATGTTTTAACAGAGTGCTATCGTTTTATTACCGATTGGAAAATTGGCAGTAATGGCATTGATATTCCCAAAATATCAAAAATGTCATCGTATTTATATATAATGGAAATTTACAGAAGGCAAAGTGTTTCTGAGGTAAACCGACTCGTCTTACTTATTGTTAGATCGCGTGTCAAGTAGACTTCGTAAGGTACTTGAGCCGCATCGTCGCTCGTCCGAATCATGCCGTGAGTGACCAGCAAACGAAATGGCAACGAGTACGGTGTGCCGTATGTGTGGTATGATGCTATATAAATAATACTTGGCGCGAACCCTGATCAGTCGAGTTGCGGCGGCCGTACCTGTCGCAACACAATAATGCATCGTACCATAACAAACTGAAACCGGTTGTCCTTTTTCGCATCTTTCGTTGCTTCGCGTTCTCATTTACCTTAACCTTGTTTCGTGCTTGCATCGTGTGGCTTACATATTTTTTTTCTTTTTGACACACCACTTTCAGGTGAATTCTTCATCTTTCTTTGTCTGTTTCCCCATCTCATTCTTTGGTGTGTACAGAAGTGACCAGAATGTCGCACGATAATTTGGGATTTACCTCGAGTACAGTAAGTGACATTGTATCTACGTATAATTTACTTTATTCCATTTGCTTCTGTTTACCTTTCTTGCACATGACATTTTTACATTTATTAATATTCTTTTCTTGTTTTCTACTGTGCATGGATCATTTGAATAAAATGATTGTTACCATTTAAATTACCTGTATTGATAGAAAATTGTTAGAATAGAAGTTAATCGTTAAACGAATTAATAACATTATTAATTTGATTCCTTTATGCTTTGTTTATATTATGTTAATTAATGTCCACACTAACGAAATTTAATATATTCGTTATATATTAATGATATAATTTAAATTTAATTTGATCAATATTTAAGTTTTATTTCAGTTTGAGAAATTTTCATTTCACTTTTATTTCAGTTAAGTTTGTTTTCACAGATCAAACTGCTTGATATAATATGATGTACTATGATCATAATAAGTGGCTCACTTCACACTTATTTCTTTTCTGTTTCTCAATAAGATGAAATAATTTTATGAGACACATTAATAATAAAGTTAATAATCTGTAAAAGAAATATATTCATTGAATTAATAAAAATTAGTATAAAATTATAATATTTCACTTCAAATATTTTATTGTACAATTCTAAGAGCCAATATAATCGAATTTTCTTTAACTTATATCTCGAAATAATCGAATTAGAGAAACGATGATTCAATCGATCATGATATTAAATCGAAGGATAGGTTAACGATTTTAATTGATAATGTCGGTTAATTGTTAATTTTTAGTTGTATTTACACGATTATTGCCAATCATTTGTGAATTCTGTGATAAATGTGAAAATAAAATTTGCATCTGAATGAAAAATTCTATTGAAGGATAACATTAATCAAAGATATATATATATATATATATATATATAAAGTATATATAAAGTGATTCCAATGTTCGCGTTTTAAGGAAAATACATGATTTAAATCAGAATAAGTTTTTCATATTCGATACTAAATTTAAAATCTTAATAGATTTTTTTCATTCGTTTTGAGATTTGCATCATTTGAACGTGAAATTTAATAGAAGTGAAGTTGAACTTAATAGAAGCTATTGTTCGAACGGTCAGTGAAACTGTGTGTTCTTCATATTGGTTATTATCGTGAGATTTTTGTTCCATTCTTTTTTTTTTTTTTTATGAATTCTAATTTTTTGCTGCGATTTATTAGATTTGAGATTTTTAAAAAGAAAAATAAAGTAATATCTATCTGGTTTTAAGACAATGTGATATCATTGTTTGCAATGACAGTTGGTATTATTGCCAAGAAATCTTTGTTTAGGTTACTTTCACCTCCTTTCTGCCTTCGCATTATATCAAGTTTTAAGATTTTATTAAAATTATCGAACGAAATATTTTTCATTTGTTTTGAAATGTTTATTTATATTAAATCAATTTCTATGATTTAAGAATTTATTTTATCACAATTAATCATTAATTTATCATGACGGTAAGTGAACATTCGGTAAAATAGTTGTTTAAACAAAATTGTCATTACATTATTGCATGTACAAAAGAGTGAATAGAAATTTATGTTAAGAATCGATAATCTCTGTGCTTATATTGTGAATTTAGATATCAATGTAAGCAATTAAAATCATTGAAAGTTTATGATGATTGTGAGTCGTTTATGATATTTGAATTTAATTTGCTAAGGAATTCATGTTTTGATAACTGTAAATCTAGGTAATCCATATTTGATAACAAATAAAATATGAGTTATAATATTTAAAAATATGAAAAACTCTTTCTTTTCCAAGATGGAGAAATCGAAAGTTCGATATATCGAAGAATCGAAAGATCGCAATATGAAAAAATCGATAATCGATTTTAAAATCTTTTTATTAATAATCGATTTTAAAATTAAAATATCAAATATTTAAACATTTGATCCATATTTCATAGTTGATTTTATTAAAATTTGAATCTATGAATATTATTATATTATTTTTTAATAATAAAATTTCTTTGTTTAATTTGATATATCATAATTCTATACATATGCAATGCAATTATTTATTTCAAAATAATTGATTTTACTTAATAAAACAAAAAAAGAAAAAATAACTCTCATTCTAGAAATTTAGCATTTTTATCTGTAAAAAATAGAAAAGAAAAAAAAATTATTGCTCTAATAATAATGTTAACTGTGATATCAAATGTTTGTTACTTTGATTGCTCATCATTCTGACTGTTTACCTTCGTTTTATTTTCGTAGATCATATTACTTGATAATGATTCAAACGAAGAAATCGTTTGAATGGAACTTTTTTTTTTAGGAAATACTACGATAATAGCAAAAATTAATAAATTTTCGAATCCAAATGATAATCGATCTATTAATACGTATATATTCTTGTAAATCTTACGAAATGTTAATATATATGTTTTTTTTATTTAATCGTATTTTTTAAAGTGTAATAAATAGATTATAGATAGTGATTTACTAAAGAAAAATTATATAATAACAATCATCGATAATTAAATGTTAATAAATTCGCATGTTCACCTTGAATTTTCAATTATCATGATAATTGTTTTTTTTGAGACGATGAAAAGAAACACTTTGTTTTAGTAAAAATAATTATAAAGAAATCAAATATGGTAATCTTATTTACAGATATTAATTATATGTATATTAATTAAATATTATATATTATTATAATAATATTTAATTTATACAATTTTATTAAATCTTAAATTAAATATTATGAATTAAATTAATACATTTTATTCTGAATTATATTATGTTATTATAATATAATATAAAAGAATTTTTTTGAGTGACTCTAGTTTCATGTCTATCTTCCACGTGGAATGATGGAAATAATAAACAATGTATTTATCAATCCAGACCATATAAAAATCTTTGATAGTGAAGTACGATGTACAAAGTTATTCAAGTAGATAACATTGTAACTACATATACTATCTATGAGATATTCCAGATGATAAATTATGTGGGACCTGGTATGAAGTAAAGTTCATGTATCGCGAAATGCAGTTATTTGAAGGTCTAATTTATTTATTTCGCGTTCGATTTAGTGATCGATCTGGATGTCGATTAATCGACTACTAAGAATCGAACTATTGCATATATATATATATCTTTGATATATATACAGGATATATTGTTAAAGATTTACATAATTGGAATGTAAAAATATTCTCCGTAATTAGAATGTAAAAATATTTCGCGATATTTTTTTTTTTATATATATTTATTTTTTAAATATATTTTATGATTATCAATCATTGGAATGTATAGTAATAATTTTTATGACATGGCTATCAAAATTTGCAGGAATTCAATTTCTGATAATCAACGATTTCGTATTAGAGGAATGTATATGTATATATGTATATGTACATATATAAATCTAATATTAAAACTGTTTTAAATATTTAATTATAAATAATATATTTATACATGAATTTATTTATACAAATTTTATCATATATACATATATATATATGTGTGTGTGTGTGTACATATAAAATTATTAATTTCGAAGAAAATCTTTCTTTTTTTTTTTGTGATTTATTAATACAGTAGTACACAAGTGTTACTTATTATCCATTAATAATTTTCTTGAAATTATATTTATAGATTGATTTTTCTTTCCTTTTTATTATTATTATTATTTTCAGGATATTTATATTTATAGATTTTAAGCAATAACAAAGAAAAAAATAGGTCATTCATAATAGAATATGTCCTTGAGTTTCGAAATGCCCATAAATCACGCACTTGGTAATCGAAGAATTTCGTGTAAATACGAAGAAATCGTACAGCGTATGATTAAATAGAATTAAATTTTATGAGAACAATCTATCTGCACGCGCGTGTTTTATTAGTATTATTAATTTTTTGCGTTATAAGTTAATAATCTTGAATATTTCGTTTAAATCATGTTACAAATATGATAAATCTGTTTTGTTGTTTAGAATATATACGTATGTATATTAGAGATGTATATTTGATTATTGTTACGCGATTTTTAAAATATGTATTTTCAGAGAGAGAAAGAGAGAGAGAAAGGAAAAATTATTTTAAAGGCAAATGTGTTGATTCTGTGATTAAGTAAATACATAGTTATTAGCGTGGGTAGTATATTATGTAGAAGATTAGTTATTAAGAAGGTGTTAGCGTTGTGTATCAAGTGGCATACTAAATAGAAGATTCTGTATTATGTATGTGTACATATATATATATATATATATATATGACAGTATATGCGGTAGTATAATTATGCAATGGAATGTTAATACAATCGAGAGTTCGATAAGATTGAAAAATTGGAACAATATGATGAATTGAGAAGTTCGTGGAATTTAAAAATTTCAAAAAAAAATTTTTAAAATTTGCATTTTTGAAAAACTTTGAGAGTAGTTGTATGAAAATTTTAAGTTTTCGAAATTTAAATTATTATTCAAGATTTAAAAATTACAAACATTTTTTTCTAAAATCGCGAAAATTCGAAGGAAATAATAATATTTGAAATTTTGGAAATTTTTAAAAAAAATTGAAAGTTTATTTGAAAATAATTTAAAAATACATTTAATGATCGACATTATTCTAAATAGTAGTTAATATATTTGTGATAAATTCGTAGAAAAATATTTCATTCGTCACAATAAACAAATATCACTATCATTTCAGTGAAATTTTATCATTTTATCATTTACTTTTTTGTATAAGATAAAAGTCATAAATTTCAAATATCCATACAATTTGAAAACAAAAAGATGTTGAAATTATTAATAAAAGAACATATGTCTGGTTTCGCTATATTTTTTTTTTTTAAAAGCAATCGGTCGATTGACAACCAGAAAATAATTTTCTATCTAATCTGGCAAACAAGTTTTGCTGATGTACATAAATACAGTTGATTACTGGAAACAGGTACGATAATTAGTATTTTTTTTGTATGATAATATTAGAAATGAATATAAATTATTTTATCTCATTCTAGATTGTATATTC